CTTACTTTCGGCCTTGTGCCACATCCATGCTACGCTTGGAAAAAAAAGGCACCCGAGGCGGTGTAATGGTTAGCAAACTTGTCTCGCTAACACAGTTACGAATAAGTAGTGAGTTCGATCCTCACTGGGTGTCTCATACTTTCGGCCTTGTGTCACATCTAAGCTACGCTTGGAAAATCACAATAATCTGCTAAGAGTATACACAGAAGATGCCGCTACTTTGGTAGAAAAGGCAAAAAAAAGGGGGGTGGGAATAAAAACAAGAATTAAAAAGGAAGAAGGAAAATAAAGAAACAGAAAAGAAGGAAAAGAAAAATAGATTAAGGTAAATGAAAAATAAGGGAGCAAAAGAAAAAAAAGGAAGAAAGAGAGATAAAATAAAGCAGAATAAAAAACAAAATAAACAAATAATTGAAAGCGAAAGGGGAATAGAAAAAAGAAAAAAATATGTGAAAGGAGAATTAGAAAAAGAAGACCATGAAAACAAAAATCATGAAAAAGAAAAAGTAATGGTTAAGAATTTTTTTGTACGACTGCACGTAGTGTAAATACGGTTAAGGTCATTTTCAAATTGGCTAAATGCCAAAAATTGCATGAATCGCGCCATTTTTTTTCTTTTTTTGCCATGGACATCAGGATGCGCCTCAGACCAAATCCGGTATTTTGCAACAGGGAAGTGATATTTGTAGAAGTTATAGCGGTCATTAGGCTACCCGTAAACTAATCGAACAGTTAATCGAAAACGTGTACAGAAAAAAGAATACTTGAGTTGTCCAGATATACAAAACACACACACACACACACACACACACACATATATATATATATATATATATATATATATATATATATATTGTATTTGAGCAGTAATCCCTCTTTTATGCATGTTTCTTTAAAGACGACTTGCATGGTACCGCGTTTAAGCTATTTTATTTAATTTTTTTTTTTCTGGATATAAAGTGTGTGTAAAAAATTGTCCAAATCTTCTGAATATTCTAGCGCTCTTGGCCATTCTTTTATCCATTATCAAAGATAAATTTTATCTTTACATTTAACTGAATGTATGGATTTTTATGTATGTATCTAAAGTTATAGGAATTGTTTCCCCAAACACCGTCGACATATTGTGGCCGTATTCATATTTGATATTATTAAATGCTTTTTTTTTATTATAAGTGCTTTCATTATTCTTTTTACATGTGGTTGAGGCTATTATTATAAGAGAATATAGCGGAAGGGGCTTGGTAGCTTTCCGTGTGTGTTTGAATGAATCCTAATTGAGCTATGGTCAGAGAGGTGTAACATAAGTTCTCTTGATAGACCTGCAGTAGTATATTCAGTGTAATTATTCATGAACTTCGTTTGATTCCTATACCTCTTAAACATAATAAGAACTAGACCAGCGTTTCTTAACACTTTGAGTCTTGACCACCGCTTAACCGGTGGTAGAGAAAAATGACGTAATGCCCAGCCACCGGCTGAACGGTTGGTAAACACTTTTAACAAATTTTTATATCTACTGGGAAGCATTACATATCAATTATTTGCGAATTCTGACACAGATGCTCAGGCAGAAGGGTGAAAATTGTTCAAGAACGCATATTTTTCAGATGTTTCGCGCCTCCTGTTAATGGCCAACTACGCTGAAAATACATACATTGCATTAGTCACAACGGTGTCTTTTTTTTTTTTTACCGCAGTGCTTGCGCGGCGCATCACGTTAAATATTGTGCGTGAGTGATATAATATAAACGGAAAAAAATCAATTGTTTAGATTTAATTTTCGCGACCGCAATATGTCGCAACCGATACTTTAAGAAGCGCTGAACTAGAAAATATCTAATTACATTATTTGCATTATTCGGGCTGCTATCCTCATCTTCATTGCCATGTGCACCACGTTTCGACCGTTGTACGCCCCGGCCTTCCTCACGTGATTGTTCTAGTTCCACGTTCCATGCCTCTTCCGGATGCCACAGACATTTCAACTCTCCAAATTTTGGATCACCTCTTCTGTAGTCTAGTATTGAACTCACAAACTCTTTGGGTCTAGTCAATGAATCAAACAAATACCTTTATCCACTGCACAGTGTCCTTTGCGGCCATCTTTGTACGAATTTATGGGATACAAACCTACTGTCTCAGCAACCATTTTTTGCTCATTTTTTTTTTTTTTTTAATGTCTCGGTTTTTGGCACATGGAACTAGAACACTCTACCCCGGTGGACGAAATAAAGAGTTCGGTTCGAAATTCCAGTCAACTGAAGATTGCCGGAGCGTACAACAGCTGAAACCTTGTGAATATGCCAATGAAGGTGAGCATAAGAGTCCGGATAATGTAAACAATGTAAGTAATCATAATACCTCATATCATAGATAGAGAAAAATATAGACGATATCTCTAGGCATGAGCAGTGAAGCGAGGTCAACCCTCGTAGATTGAATAAATTGTTCAGTTCGGAATTCCCTTTAGATTACCCAGATCGATATACCTCAGTAGAAGGCAGGATAAAAACAACAAAGATGGGGAGAACAGTCTGAATATAAATAATATGAATAAAGATAACTCCTCATTCCAGAAATTCAGAAAAAAATTACTTTATATTCCTTGGCAAAAGAAGAGAAACATTCAGTCATTTGAGACATATGTTGTTCTGTAGCTGACATCATCTAATTCAGATAAACTTTTTTCTTTAGAATATACATATCTTTTTTCGAAAAAATAATTTTAAAATGACATGATTGTCAAAATTCTTTAAGAAGCTGCGCGAGTTGATAACGTCTTTGCAAATCTTAGGAGATTATATTATCAAATTATCTTTATACAGCTGGAAAAATGCCAAACAAAATGAAAAAAAACAGAAGACGATCCGTGGAAAGGACATGCAAAAAAAAGCAAAGTAGTTATCTCGTATATGCTCGTGTATAGTTCGAGTTTTTTTTATTTATTGATCAGTATTTTTTAACGCAAAATTAAGGGGTCGAACTATAAACAAGTAATATTTTTGAAGAGAACAAAAATCCTTCCTTTTCTGTAACCGGTTGCAGTAGACACAATTACTTTTTTTTGTAGGGTTTAAAATTCATGCATATTCAATGATCGTAACCTAGGGACAAAGATGCATTGCAAAAGCTAAGCAGAGTATTAAGATATAGAAAAAATTCCTGAGAAACAAAGCGTAGAATACTGAACTATTCCGCGATATCTGTCCCCTTATATGTTAGCGAATATTGAACAGTCTCCTCGAAGATGAAGTAAAGTCCCGAAGCAACAGATATGTGGTTCTACAGAAAGATGATGAGGATACCATTGACCAAACATGTGGGGTTTTGGAGAAAATGGAATGAAAAAGGAAAGTGATACTTATCATCAGGAAGAGGAAGTAGAAATTTATGGGGTAATTAATGAGGAAGGAAGGCTTGGAAAAACTGATACTCACAGAAGAAGATTGAGGAAAACAGTAACAGAAGAAATCAGCAATTAACGTGCTTGAGTAAATGGATGGTAGAACAGGTTTTGGGAGAAAGAGGAAAAAGAAAAAAAAACTTATTAAGAGCTATAAGGGACAGGAAAAAGTTGAGGGCCATGATCGCCTACGTCTTGAAGGGACACGGCATATAAAAGAAGAAGAACTAACCTAGAAGGCTTATATTTAACGGTACCTTTCGCCAAACTTAACGGTCAGTTCTTTTATCTTGCCTCTCGTATCTCAGATTATTTATTCCTCTGGCTAAAAGAACAGCAGAAATTAATTCACTATCTGAGCTGCTTAAAATCTACAAGTACCTTATATAAATAAAGAATCAACAATGTTTTTGTTTTCCTTTCTCCAATTTCTGTTCATCTTCGCACGTCTTTAGAACGCTGAGGTATTGCTTTTACGATGGCAGCCCTTTTGTCTGATACGTATCTATACGGTATATGTTATTGCATATTATCATCAGTCAATGATCTCAACTCGGCTTATACTCTTGGCCGGCGATCGCCAATCGTTTTGGTTCGGCAATGAAAGAATTCAACAGAGAATGTTAACTATTTTTATTAATCATGTCGACATGAAAGTTATCTGTCACTCGGGAGCCGTTTCGGATACGAAAGAAAACCCGCATACATCGCTTGACGGGTAAAAAAACAACTACCGAAAACTTTTTTCCTATCTTTTTCCCACGCTAGCTCAGCCAATCAAAATCGACTTCCCTCTTATGGTCCACATCTGACACCGGATGTCAATCTCTGGAAGTCGGAGCTGAGATACACTTCCTGTAAAAATAATAGTCTGCTAAACTATTATTTAACTATGTTCCAGTTGTGTTCCTTATTCTGTCGTTTATTTATATTTTTGGTAGATTTGTACCAAAAAAACGGAGGCTATTTATTTGCTATAAAATATATCAGTCCGGAACTGCAATATTTGACTATGGTAGGCCTTCAGAATCCGGGGTCGCATAATGCAAGAGCTATATGAAAAAACAGTTTTTTCCCCAAAATTACAGAGTTCACCTTATGCATGAAGTAGGATTATACACGACTATATACGATAATTAACACAAATTCTATTTCCTGGTATATAAAACGCACTTTAAAAAAATCGATCCTGTTTTATTCTCTGATGGCTGGTTTTGGGTGTATGCTTGTTGCAGAGATTACCACTAGAGGATATTTTTAGCACAAGATCACAAATATGGGACACTCAGTGAGAATCAAATTCACTACTAGTGTCCAGCTAGACAAGAGTTATTACCCTGTATCGATGCGGTCTTATTTACCGCCTCTAGAATAAAACATGCGCATCTGTTTGATACTCTATTTAACCGACGATGAAAGACGTTTAGGTGCGTGTTATACACCGATATGCGTCATCTATCTGGGAATGAAGTATTACATATGTTTCCCTTTCTCTTAACCGCTAAAGAATAAATCGTTTGAAACTGCTTTTATAAGAATTAGTTTTGTGCAACTTATTTTTTTTGGTTTGTATTCTTCGACTATATATTGGCTTACAGCCACATCATGGTAAAACACCTGTTCCCATATGATCACCGAAGTTAAGTAACGTTGAGCTTGATCAGCGCCTAGATGGTTGACCGCTTGGGAATACCAGGTGCTGTTAGCTTAAATGTGCGTGTGGTTTAATGGATAATGGCTAGGAATTGTTAATCGGAAGGCAGAGTTTCAATTCCAGTCCGGTTCTTTATATTAACTTGCGCGAAAAATACCCTTGAGAAAGGCATGAATCCACATCTTCTCCCTCACTGGCTACGGGTCAATTAGTAAAATTTGTGTCTCTATATCATTGTTATCTCAAAAAAATTCTTACAAAATAAAAATATTTTCTGTCTTTGATAAGCTGGATATAACGAACAAATCAATCCTTCAATCTATTATTCATAAGATCTATATTTGCTTTAACATATGCTTAATTCTTAGATTCATAAAGTGTTTCATTTTAACGAAAACTTTTACAACTCTGATAAAACAGAAAAATAAACTCTTAATTCAAAAGCCGTTTCCTATATTTCTTGCAATAATGTTCACCTTGTACAAGAGCCACTCGTTGTAGAGGCTTACAGACTAAATGGTAAGGGGTAGAGTTGAGGATACGTGGGGAAGATAACGGCTAACCCTAGATTAAATAGGAACAGATTGTAGTGATCGGGAAAGCATCCACATGGGAATCAGTTTCATAATGTAGCGGCGGTTCATGGTATGACGATGAACTACGTCCGACAGCAAGGTATCTGATCAGGATGTTTTGAGCAGCTTGGAACAACGTCTTAATTGAAAAAAATATTACCAGCAATAAAAAATATTGTTGGCATTAAATAACCAATATGCCGTAAAACAAACCAAACCAAACAAATGTAGCAGTTCGTGGGAAGAAACTGTTCGAGTGGAACTTATATTTGACCAGTGGAATGCGAAGGGAATGAGGGTGGTTCGCTAAAATGGGCGTGGCTTAGCGATTCATAGTAGTGAAGGTTAGAATTGATGGAACGAAAAGTGTAGTTGGTTTAAACACTTTCCATGGAAATAACGATAGAGTATCGAGAGGCTTGTGATTTTTCGTGTGTGGGAAAGGGGATGTAGGGAGAGAAATAATACATTAACCACAAGGCCGTGTAGATGCTTTTGGAGTAAATCCTGCATATATGCATTGTCAAACAACAGATGAATTAAAGTCTCTATTTAAACATCGCCAAATGTTGTCTGTTTCATGGAAGAGAATGTATTTCATAGCATATCCTTTGACATAGACTTTTATATGTAATTCATATTTTGCACAATATTTGTAGGTATTTCTTCAGTACAATATATCATCTGTAATTAAGAATTTGATAAAAGTTTTGCTGAATATCTTTTGTCCGCAGATTAAAAATTATCATGCTGCTATTTTATAAGACTAGAATTTAGCATTGTTGGTTAAATTGTTTCTAAAACAGTGGGTTGTATTCTGTATGTTGAATAATAAAAATTTAACTGCCCACCAGAAAAAAAAACAAACAAACAAACAAACAAAAAAACATGAAAATTCCTTGTACTAAGCTAGTAAAATCAATTGTACTTTGTACCACCCTCTTAGCTGTTTGCATTTCTCACCGACATTTGGTTTCGGTCAGTCAATGTATGGCTATTTTAGAGCGATATTTATTCTGATATATACACAGAAATGTGGCACAAGGCCAAAAATGGGGATTGGGAAAAGGAGGGTCTTCTTCTGTCTTAACGATAACTTATCTAGCCACAAACACTGACCTAATCATACAAATAATATTCCTTACACAAAACAACACCTTCTTACGTAACTTTCTTACTACATTCCCCACTGTCTCTGAAAGTAGTAACTAGTCCCAATATGTACAATTCATTGTCTGTGGAGGAGGGGAATAAAACAACAATTCTAAACAACAAACTAGCACCAATGATTATTTACAATATGAAATAAAACTATTTACAAGAAACTAAAGAAAATAATGTTAGTAATAAGACCACCAAAATCACTAAATGTGGCAAAAATATCAGTTAACTGGCCGAAATTAATGCGGGACTATAATAATATAAAATATTCATTCATCCCAAGCACTCACACTGACATGCACTCATTCAAACACAACAACAAATACGAAAATTTACACACGAAACGAAAGACGCCCCGCATCCACCAGAGAACTGACATCACTCACCACCTAACGGGGGAGAGGATGGGGAATTAAAGAAAAATAGGGACAGAAATAATAGGAGTCAATGAGCATGCATACCCTAACTAATTTTTTATAAAAATGGAAACTAAAGTATCAAAACTAAACCTAAGCTAACCTCATTTTGGGATGGGTTGCCCGCGTTCAACCGAGGCAAGCAATATCCTGATGCCTAACAGGCATCAATGTTCCACTCCAGGCGAGCCTCACGACACAAACGCGCAAGATTCACCCAGCTTTTGCCGAATTCTGGTGAAGTGAGTCGCCGCCTTTCCGTTCTAATCTTAACCTTAAGCTGATGCATAAAGTATAATAAGATCAGTTGGGAAGAAGTGAACTTCTCGCCTTCATAGAATCCCTTCTGACGTGTCGTCCAAATCACGACTCTCATAACACCTAGCAAGCATAAGAACACATAATTTTTAACCTTCTTTAACGGCGGAGCCATATTGCTACAAACAGAAGAGGCCTCAAGGAGAAAGAACTTTCCCTGCAGCATGTGAACCACGAGGACTTCAACAAACTTGCACAACGGGGCGACCACCCTGCAATGAAAGAAGGCGTGACCCATGGTCTCGACCTCTCCATCAAAGCATCGGCAGTTTGGAGATTTCTCCAAACCCGCTGAGCAATGTCTTTTGCCGAACCCGAGGGCTCCACGAATCACCAGTCAAGTGAGTGATGCCTCATCGTTATTGAGACATTTCAACCTGGGCGTCCAAGGCCATATTGAGCGAGCCTCCTGCTTCGTAAAGCCGAGCTCGTCAATCAGCTTATCACGAACGGACCCCTGACTAACACCAGATATAATGCCCTACGAGACGTTGGAGAGGCAGTGATTTTCCAACCGTAACTTAGATGTGGCACAAGGCCGAAACTAGGCGAAACCCAGTGTGAATTGAACTCATAACTCAGTGGTAATTATTGCTAGCAAGACAAGCTCGTTAACCATTACACCGCCTCGAGACGCCCAAACGATAGCTATTTTAGAGCATGTGAAGGACGCATGGACGGACGTATATAGGAACGGTCGGAATAACAAAGGTCACAGAATTTGATATCTATATGTTAGTCTTCTCTAATGTTAATATGAAATCGAAGACAAGAATCCTTTAAAAACAAGCTGTAGCATCGACAGTAAGTAATAATATAAATACAATGATAGCTATGAGTGTTTTATACACGTACATACACAGGGACACACATTTTGATGTGATTTTCTTGTACACATTTTAATATACGATCTTCTCTGGAGGAAGATTCCTCATTTAATGTCGGCTGCTTCCTGAATTATGTCTTTCTTTTTACTGAATCCTATGCAATATTTGGTGTTGTCTACTAAAATTTGCTTACACTATTTTCGATATTTGTGATAAGCTGATCTGTTCATGCAGAAATAGCACTATGTAAAAATACTGTTGCTCATGCATTCCCATTTCCTTTTGGAGAATGTATCTTCAACTTAACAAACAACATTAATTTTTTATATTGGCCACTCCCTCTCTCTTTCCTACCTTGACTTGTCCACATTTAGTGCATTTGCATGCATATACGTCAGCACAAAATAATATTAACATAAACATATTTTAATGGATAACCTCAAATAATGTATCGGACTCAATATAAAGGACACACACACATTATATATATATATATATATATATATATATATATATATATATATATATATATATATATAGTTTATGCGCCCGACTACAAGGACGAGCGTGACTCGTTTTTACGTCAGCTTCGACCGTTCCTAGTGGATTCGTCGTGCCTAGTTTAAGTGCGGGATGGAATGCCGTCCTGGACCCCAAGTTAGACAGGAGGCAGAGAGCTACCGAGAAGTCAGATGATTGTTGCTCGGTTTATCTGATCGGCGAATTTGGTCTCGCCGACATATACCGGGTCGATCACCGGGGGGGGGACTATGTGGATGTGGACGCGTAATCGGCTGTCTACCCTGGTATCCAGCTACCTAGATAAAATTTTAGCCAAAAGGGGTCGATGTAGATCTTTTAGAAAATCCCCCTTTTCCACTGGCAATTCTATTCGGACCACAGATTTGTCTGTGTCCGGGTGGCGTTGAAATCTAGGCTCAGAATGGCCGGATACTGGCTGGGTATGGCGAGCCCTCTCACTGCTCTGTCATTACTTCCACGTAAAGTGATCGGACGAATTACATTCTTTGGCATTCAGGGCTAGGACTCGCCATGCCATTTTCATTCTAGCAAACCATCCACACTCCCTCTGTATTCCATCGGTGAAAGTAAGTTCCACTCGAACCGCTTTTTCCCGAGAACTAATGCTCTGTGGAACAACACCTAACCACTAAAGTCTTAACCTTTTCAAGTCTAGATTTAACCCTTATTTCTCCGTCCTATCCATATTTAACTGGCGGAAGAGGAAAGCAGGTGAGGCGGAATGAGTGAAATACAAAGCTTTAGAAAAGGTTTAAAAAATTCATATGCAAATATAAATATTGATTCAATATTTAAAAGATTATAATGGTTACTTGTAATTGCATGTATGATTCCTGGATGATAGTGTTCTGACTTCAAATCTGCGATTATCTCCCTTTAACCCCAACCCCCACTCTCTCTATGAATTTTATGTTATTTTTATATGTTCTTTTTATCGCATAAAAATGGTGAGGCCCGAGCAAATTTTATCTCCGAACATGCGGCTCAGAGGAAAAAAATTGGGAACCAATCCAAGGTAACCATATACCCCGGGCCATGTACAGGGTGAACTTTACTATATATATATATATATATATATATATATATATATATATATATATATATATATATATATATGGCATCATGATTGCGTCTAGCGTGAAACAGTCTGTCGCCTCTGAGTTTTGAATTCAATGTCTTCTTTTATATTTACATACGCTCTATCTCTGATA